ATAACCATTTAAATAAACGTCCAAGAAAACAATCTAAACCACAGCAACTTCTTAAAATTGATAATCAAAATCAAAATGAACAATCAACATCATCATCCGATAATGACGATGAAGAAGAAGAAGAAGAAGAAGAAATAGGTGAAATAAATGAACCAATTGAAAAACAAGTATTTATTTATTTATTAATTCTTACATCTTCAATTTTCATTTTTTTTTTTGTTCTTAGAATACTCTTCCAATTCCACCTCCACCAATATTACCATTTATACCAAATAATATACCATTTCTTACCTATATACAAGATTTAGTTCGTACAAATAATATTCCATCATCATCACCGATAACAATGGGAAAATTTCTTGAAAATTTTCAAAAAGAATTTTTATCAACATCTATGGAATCTAAACGAATATTACCAATACCTCCACCAATATTTTCTCAAACTGTACATCATCATCATCATCCATATTTTTCTCAAATACTTTTTAATAATTCATTTATAAATCATTTTCCATCTGCAACATCATTAACACGTTTTGGTCATCATCTACCAATAGATAATTTTCATGATCATTCAACATTTCCATATCATTTATCAACACCAAAAAAACGACGCACTAAAGTAAATAATATTTATTTTACGAATTTTTTTTTTGATTTTGTTTTTAGGTAACTGATACACGTTTATCACCACGTATAGCATCGAAAATTCCTTCGGATGATATAACTGATGATGAAAATAGTTCATCACATCATTCATCAGATGAAAATCCAACTAAATCTGAACAACAATCAATTGAATATAATGGATTTCAAATAAGTGATTTTCTTTTTTTTGCTTTTCTTCTAAGTGGAGATTATTCGACTAAAGAATAAATTAACCTATGACTATCGAAATTAGACTCATTAAAGTTATTCTCATTTTGCTCTCTTGATGCGCACTCGTGCTTTATCACCCTATTTCCGTTTGAACCTTATAAACGATAACATCTGCGTTTCTTTTTCTTTTTTCTTTTTATTATACGTGGCAATATTAACATCACTTCATTTACGTAAAGCAAAATTAATGTTCTTTTATACACGTTATCCAAGTTCATCAGTATTAAAAGTTTATTTTCCTGATGTACGTTTTAATAAATTAATAACAGCACAATTAGTTAAATGGTTTTCAAATTTTCGGTAAAAGAAAAATTTTTGTTTTTTTTTGTTTTTTTTTGTATTTTTGTTCTAATAGAGAATTTTTTTATCAACAAATTGAAAAATATGCTCGACAATGTTTAGCTGAAGGTATTCGTCATGTTGATGATTTAATTGTAACACCTAATTCTGATCTTTATCGAATTCTTAATCTTCATTATAATCGTTCGAATCAAATCAATGTAAAAATTAGTTTTTATTTATTTATTTATTTATTTATTTATTTATTATCTTGTTCTTCTTTTTTTTTGTTTTAGGTACCAATAAGTTTTAGTAATGCTGTTCAAGCAGCATTAAGAGAATTTTTTCTTGCTATACAACAACAAAAAGATCTTGAATCATCATGGAAAAAAAGTATTTATAAAGTAATGCAACGTTTGGATGATCAAATACCGGAATTTTTTAAAAATGACCATTGGATGCATTCCATATGAACAGTAGAATTCTATTGACTTAAATATTCAAATGTATCGTTTTTTTTTTCTTCTCTTGTTCAATCAAATAAAACTAGAGCTCTCTCGTTTTTTTCTTTTTCTTTTTTTTTTCTTTACACTAATTATTTCATTTGATCATGTTCTTGGATAAATGTTGAAAAAATTTTTCATGACAACTAATTGTTTGTTAATGTATTTATCCTTTTAGCAAACTACACGTGCTTGTTGATGATATTGAATATGGTCTAAATGTTCTCTGATGTAATTTTAGTAAGCTATGTTGAACACGAGTCATAGTCAGTTATTTGATATCATTGAAAAAGAATCAAGTTAGTATTGCAGGAAGTGTGCAACGGAATAGCAAATCTTTGATCATATATATTAAAAAGAAATTCAATAATGATAATAAAAAAAAAAATGTTTAAAATATATTAAAAGAGAAATATATATATAGAATTTCTACTAATGTAAGAATTTATATTAAATTTCATGTAGATTTTAGCATTAATTGGTTGTGATATATCGTACATCGTCTAGTGTCTGTCCGATTTCGTTCTAGAATGGACGAAACTCCTGCCTGTAATAAAAGACTCTCTCTCTCTTCTTTAAAGGAACGAGGGGCTTGGACTGCATAGAAAACTGGGAGTCTTCTATTGCGGAGTGAAATTTAAACGAATGTCATTATAATATTTATAACAATAATCAAATACCGATAGTATAATAAAGAAAACTGTTATTTCATTCTTTTAAGTAAATGAAATCTTTGTTTTTTTGAATCAAACGAACAGGAATACAAGAACTCAATGAAATTTATTATATTCATTGAATGTTGCCTGAGATCTGAACTCAATACCCTCTAAGATAATTTCTTTCTGAAAGTATTTTTTATGATTTTATTCAAGTAGAATGATGTATTCGTTATCATGCATATTTCTAAAGGTTTCGACATCATTTGAGACATCCAATATTCTCCTTGACTTAACATGAAACAGTACTATTTACTCTTTTTTCTATTTGAATAAGAATAAAATGCATTACATAGGTAGGAAAGAATCTTCTAAAAAAGCAAGAAACCTTGAATCAAGGAGATCGAACATTTTTTTTAAAGAACTTTGAATGAAATTGTTGTTTTAAATGATAAATTTTAATCTACTAATGTTATACATTATTATTTATGTTTTGTCGGCTTGACAGTTCTTTATCTAGCGTTTTCACTCTTTTTGCCGTAACATGCTTTTCTTTGTACAGGTTGATAATCATTCTTTTATAATATCTTATTCATTCTGTTCTAATAAAATGGATTAAAAGTGTGTTTGCAACATAATTATATAACTTCGTCTGGCTTTTTTCTAGGAAATGAATTTCAAAACGATTTAAAAATAGAAGAGTGTTTACTTATAACTAAACAATGTTGTAGAACAATACATTCAAGTAGGGATATGAAGAAGGAGAAAAAGTAAGGGAATGTTAGAGAAGTTTTCTAAACTGTGGAATGGTGTAGATTACATAAGTAATAAAAGCTTTTTTTTTGAATAATTTCTTGAAGAGTGACATAACGAATGAATTTTTCTATTTTTTTCTTCTGCAATATTCTACAGAAGTGAAGTAGAAAGCAAACAAAGTACTATAGGTATCATTTAAAAATGAATCGCCAGTGTTTTAACATTATTTCGAATGTGTTTTATGTGTTAATGCCCACTATATTATTTCTGATTAATTTCGTATTTTGATTTGAAACGATTTTAATTACATCTATTCTGATATATTGAATACAATAATAGAATCAATGATTACCAACACTGCCAATGAAACAAAATAATCAATATGAACTTTATTGTTTTCAAAACAAGAGTATTCGTTTTATGAAAGCTTTTTAGATGGTGCAGATAATCAATCAACAAATGATTTTACTATAAAATCTAAATTTACGAGTTATAATTATCAAATAAACTTGTAAAACTAGATTATTTATTTTTCTTTAACTGATATTAAAAAAATTGATAATAGAGGGCATTATGACATAGCTTGCCAATTGATAGTATCCTATTATTATGCGACGAGCTTTGGAGCAAAGAAACTAGGAATCTTGGGCTGCAATTAGTGCCACAAAAAAAAACGAAAATAAATTGTAGGAGGAAGAAACAGCCAACGAGGTACGTGGATAGTGGCGTATTAAAGAAATCGAAGAGAAATGCGTTCTAAGAAAATGTTCGTTGGTTGCTTCGTCCTCCTACAATTTATTTTCGTTTTTTTTTGTGGCGCTAATTATAGCCCATGGTACCTAGTTTCTTTGCTCCAAAGCTCATCGCATAATAACGAGATACTATCGATTGGCAAGCTATGCTTTAATGAACTCTTTCGATGACTCTATCTTCGTTCTACATTGAATTACACTTCTGAAAATTCTACCACAAACTTGTGGGCTCATGAGAACTGTTTGAGTTGAGCTTGAGTTATTGACACCAAACTAGAAACTATAACTAACTACTTGGTGAAAGTTTTCCAATGGGAACTTCTGATCTCTGTTATTGCAGGGTAATTTCTAACCAAATTTTGACTGTAGACAGCTACATCATTGGAATTACAAATGAGGGTTGTGTGAACACAAAGGTAAAAAAATGACCGAAATATGCCTTTGACAATCTGATGATATTGTTGTCCTGATAACTCCAATCTATATCAACCAATTGAGGGCGTGGATGGTACTTGCGATCAGAGTTCTCTAAGAGCAATCTACATCCTATATCATAAGAAATAAGACCAATTTAGGGGGAAAAGCGGATACTTTTATCCAGGACTGTACGTAAAAAATGGTACCTCGAGATTAATATTATTTATTTCGTCTGCCATCTTGATCATAACGGACTGAATTTTTTTTTATTTTTACAAGAAAAAAAAGAACAGAAAACTTTTCTTTTTTAAAGTTTGATGTGTAGCACGATGTTGTAAGATTTCTATACTTATTAATTAAAATGTTTGCTCATATATATCGCAATGATAATCCTGTGCTAGTGAAGCTGTTATTGTTGTTAAATTACTCAATAGATTACTTTTATTAATATTTAGTTGTATTGATTTAAAAATTGAATTTTCATTATTACATGAAGCTACAAAAAAAATTTATTGATGTCATGCATGAAAAATGATATATTTTTGTCGTTCGGACAGATGTTGTTTTTTCTTCGCTGCCTAACTTCTTGATGTTTTATTCTTAACTATCAATCAAATTTGTGGGTGAGGGAGTGATTGTGGATGAACGGAAGACTCACCAAACTTATACCTGCATCCACATCCTTTCAACGCATTGTGCTTATAGATTCTTTGAAATGAATATTCTTAACAAGAAGTTGTTGGTATCATAGTTGCACATGTTAATGAAGTAGTATTTGCTCAGAATCAACACCATTTACCATCAAATGGTTCTTCTGTTTTAAGAAGATGTTCAAGTTCTTGAAAGTTATTATTCAAGGTTAATGAAGTTAATCAACCTTTTAACTCAGTTAAACTGTTACATTTATCAGTAGACCATATATATGACATTAGAGTTTTTATGTTCTAAATTAACATACATATTAAGAGTGTGTTCGGTATTGTAACATCAATAACACAATTGTTCCTAAGTGTTTTCAATATATAATTATTGAGTTTATCAGGTATACAATCAATTGTGATAAGATAATCAAAACTATTCGCATCATATGGACAATCGTAACAAGTTACATTACCTGAAATGAAATATAAAATTTGAAAAGTTACGAATAAATTGAATAATATGTTTCCCTGTAAGAATGATGATTGTATATAGATGCTTGTTTGATATTAGATAGGTATAATAAGATAATCAACTTTTTAATGGAAATATTTAAATCATTTTTTTTGTTCGTTTTCCTTATAACTCTAAAACGACTTGTTTTAGAATGTTTTTTTTTTCTTTTCATTCTATTTTGTTCTTGTAAATTCATAATAATCTCATATTTTAATTAACAAATAAACAATTTTTAATAGAATAGAAAAAGTTAAATCAATTTTATATTTACAATCATTGAATGAAAAATTTTTATAAGAAAAATAATGAAAAACAAAGTCATCTTGTTCATTGATAATATAGATATTGATTTGTTATCAATATTAAAAAATTCATCAAAATCAAAATAGATATAACTTTTTTCACGTATACTTCCACTAACAGCCGGTGTATTACAATTTTCACGTTCACAATTGAGCAACCATAAGGTAGAATATATTCGTTCAGTCATATTAAAAATCATTCCATGTGATAATCCAGTTTTATCAGGACTGTTAGTCAAACATGTTGCACATAATTCTGTTCTTGTTTGATTAACCATTCCAGATAATGTACATTGTGTACAAGAACTAATTGGTATTGTAATATTACATTCGGCAAAAGTCACATTTGAACCACGATAACACCATTGACCTTGAAATGGCATAATGGGATTGAGAAGATACGTAAGTTGATAAAGAGTATCGTTCATTTTTAACGAATTTAATAAACGTTTTAATTGATTCATACTGTTGCATTCATTAGTAATACATTCATAGAAAACTACTTTTTCTCAAACTGGTATTGATCTTGTCTTTTCGTAGCCAACATTGACAACAAGTGAATGATCAGTTGATGCTGACTTTTTAGTGTCTTCGGCGACTAATGTTATTTTCGTATTATCTGGATCTCTTCGCCAAAATATTTCAATAGCACATTTTTTTCCAATGAATAGTTTTTCAATTCTGAAGGAATGTTGTCAGCTGTAATAAGATAATTAAAACTATTCACCTCGAACGGACAATTATAACAAGATATAAGATAGAAAATGGGATGAAAAACTTGAAAAATTATGAATAAATAGAAGAATATATTGTTTTAAGATGAATGTGTAAAAAATGCTCTTGTTTGTCTGATATCAGGTAAGAAGATTCAAGGTTTATCACAATGAAAAGATAAACTATTTACTTAATTAAATCGATAAGGACTTTTTTAGTTTTATTTTTAACCATTGAGTTTTAGATGATTTCGTACTTGATGAATATTTTTATTCAATTATTCATTTATTAATAAACCTAAAGTTTATATTGCATTCAATAATACACATCAAAATTTCAATTTGTTTTGAAAGATAGACAGTTGCTCGCTCAGATATTTGGTCGCTGTTCAGACTTTCACAAGATTTTTGGATAAAATAAAGAAATAATAATGATACCATAAGTTAATTTCATATTGGGAAATGATCTTTTTCATAAACTAATTGATTTAATTGTTCTAACATTGTTCATACTAACGATTCTAATACAATGGCAGACTGTATTGAACTGAATATATATTTATAAGCTGTATAGACTAATATAATCACTTCACGAAAAGCAATAATGTCAATCCAACTATCAAAACCTTCTAAAAACATACCTTGATTGATATACAACGGCTATTCATATTTAATTGATCGAAAAAGTAAGATAAAATTTTTTTTGACAATGCGAGTGCTCTAGAGAATAGGCTGCTATGGACAATTGTATAAGAATTAAAAGGTGTAGGTGTGGGTTTTCGTCCTCTCTCCATCCATACTCAGACGCACACCCATTTTGTTATAAGAGTCATCTCGAAATAAGAAAGTTTTTCAGATAATGAGATGTTTATGCGCTTTCTAATATTGATATGCGTAATCAGCACACTCAATTTTATGAATAAGAATGCCCTTTATTTGGATCAAAAGAAAAAAATTTTCGAGATCCTGTGAGGGACTATAGGTCCGATTTTTTGAGCTGTTTCAAAAAAACCTATAAAAATATGTTCAGGGTTAGTGTCTAACTTCATTCCTATAAAAAATAGGCTCGATTTCATTGAGAATTGGAAAATGGTCTTATCCGCCCTAGTCATTTTCCTGTATTTTCTCTGTTTAATCGTTCATAACATCATAAATAATGTTAAATTTTTAGTAATTGCATAGTTTTTCTAGTTTATCTGGCATGTGAAACCTCCTCCTTTTCCTCCTATTTCCCAAAACATGTCCTCCTTCTCCTCCTTTTGGCATCGGAATCCTCTTTTTCCTCCTTTTTATCAATTAAGCTTGTAAATGAGTATTTTCAATATTTTAAACAAAGCGTTTTTACGATGCTACGATTCAGACGACATTTGAAATGATTGGTTATAGTACTACAACAAAAAATATACTTTAATTTTAACGAATATCAGTCTTTATTTCAAATTTTCGACAATACAAAGTGTCATCATCACGCAATAACTGGCAGAAACTTAAAAATATTACATATATTTGCATATGTATGTATGTATGTATGTATGTATATATGTATGTATGTCTGGGTTGTGAATGCTCCTTCTTTTCCTTCTTTCCCTCGTTTTTTCAAAATGTCTCTTCCTTCTCCTTTTTATGATTATCTCCTATTTTTCCTCCTTTTCCTTTTCTGCCACGAAATTTAGCAGCTAGAACGGTGGTTTTGGTACAATTTTGCGAATTGTCTGATACAGCTGTCTGTCTCTACGGTTGCTACTCGAGGTAGAATACGGAATGTGATTCGAGCAAGCAAAATAATTCACAAGCAAACGTTTTTTCTGCAAATCTCATTCTCGTCTTTACATTACATAAGAATCTTGTGTATATTATGGTGTTTCAAATGATTGTACTTTGCCTTACGCAAATATTTCTTTCAATAGATGAATGTGATACAATGGTATGCTTTGATATAGTTATTGACAAAGAAATGTTTCGTGAAAGAGATTAGTAGAGAGAAAAGTGATGTTTCATCAATAGTAGCCGAAAATAACAGCATTTATTGTGAGGGACGAATAGTATCAAACACAAACATTTCTAATATATTTATAGCTGTAATAATCGCACTTACAAAAATATACGCACATGTTTCCGCAATATTCCGTTCGATAACACGAAAAATGGCTTCTATAATTCAAATGTTATTTAAATTTTCTAGTCTTTTTGTTAAATTTTCTTCGACATTTCATAAAATTCTGTGGCAGATTCCCTATTATATAATCTAACAGATTTCAACATTTTGTTGATAAAACGCATCAATCGGTTTTAATGAGATAGTACTATTTACACGAGACAGTTGCGTCTTTTCATAAAACCATAGTTTAATTTTCTATTTTCTATTTGTTCCAAGTAACAATTGGAAAGAAGTTGTAGTTTAATTTTTTAACAAAGCATCAGTATTTATTTTACGCCATCTCTTCGTGATTGAAAAGTTTGCATCAGATGTTATGAAAAAAAGACTTTTTTTTTACATGTATTCAAAATCTAAAGTAAACATTTATTTGGAAACCTCCAATTTAAATAGCTTTTAACATGGAGCTGGACTAGATTTTTTGATGGATTCACTGTAAAAAAAATTCAAGATCATCACATGAATTTGATTTTTATACCAGTATATATATCTATCGAATAAAAGGGTCTCAACAAGTGAATATCGTTCATTACGAAAGTGAGTTTTGTCTTTATCAATGTGACTATATGGTTAGGATGCGTGTATCTTCGATGTGCAGAACTCTTTTGTATCGACTCCTGTTGAGAACTATCAGCCTTTGAAACTCTAGATGACGTTCTTGTTTCGTTCCATTCAAATCCCTCAATGCATTTGTAATACGAAAATACTGTTTCTACAGTAAAAGTAATATCCTCCTTTTTTCCTCCTTTTTAGAAAGCTATCCTCCAAAAAAATGTTTCGAAAATACTCCTGAATCCTCCTTTTTTCCAAATGACCGTTCACATGCCAGACTTTTATGCTTCGCGAGCAATTGTACACGCGCAAGTGTCTGCGTCACCAACTGTCATAAAACCTTTGTTTTGGATAAAAGTTGTATTTTGGAGATTAATAGAATGTTTATATAGGTTACATTTATTTTCTGTTTTATTTAACGTGAAATTTCATTGTCGTGTTTTTTTAAATGAAGAAGAAATATGTAAGTTTCGTTTTGAATAAGAAGAACTGTTATAAAAAATAAGAAAAACAAAACGTTTGTAAAACAAAATGTTTATAAAACAAAATGTGTTACGTTTTATCTTTCACTTGCTCTATACTTGCTTGTTTTCTGGTTGTTAAATCTTACGTTGAAAAATAAGATTCTATGCTATATTTTATCATAATTATATCTTTTGTTAGTTTATTTTTACAACAAAAAATATTCATTTAACTTTTTCATGATTCATAAAATTTTGATTCTCTTTTATTGAAATTCTGTTCTTAATCATATTTATCTTTTAAGAATCAAGTTCAGCGGTTTCAAAAAAAAGCTAGAATCGAAATCGAACTGGATACGAACTTGTTGGAACCGACTTCTTAGAACCGACAACCGAACCAAAACTGTCAAATCATCAAATAGATGAAAAAATTCTCGAATCTATGCTGAGAAATTTCGACTCTTTAAGACATGAGATTAAAGATTTCAGCAGATTTATATAATAATGTCATATTTAAATAATGAAGTGTGCAGCACCTTTAATTTCGAAAAATAAAAGAATCAAAATCTCTAAAACAGATGCAAAAACCATCGTATCTATTTGATGATTTAACAGTTCCTGTTCTACGCAGTATTTTGGGAATCGAACTGGAATCTACTTCTTTAAAGCGTGGAGGTGTGGATGCATTATTCATCAGGCACGCACATCCACACCTACACTACGCCCTTCTACCATATCAATCTTTTTTTGCAAGAAAAAATAAGTATAAATTTAATACATTTCAAACGAACGTTACAGAGTCGACCAACTTCATTCTTAGCTTGCTTTTCTATGAGGATCACCTCTAAACGCCTACATATCATATTTACGAGAATTTATTCAGAAATAAAGCAAAATATGTATTATCGAAATATACGATAACTAAACAATGAGAAAATCTCATAAGCAGTATGTAGACAAAAAACAAAATTTTCAAAGGCAAATCAACGAGAAATTATTTTCGAAAAAGAAATCTAAATGTAGTATGTAAAAATAGAGTCAATAAACAAATGAATATTATTGTTTTGAAGAATTTGTTAAATAGTTGACCATTTCAAGCCCGTCCGGAAATTGTACTGGGTATTTACCGCTAACAAAAAACACACGATCTACACCTTTCAATCTAATTTTATGAATTTCTTTTTGTATTTGGTCACAAAATTCTGCTCATTCTTCTTCAACACGATCCATTTTGCTGATAACAATATCATACTTGGTTCCAATAGCATCTAATAATTTCATTATACTCGAATTTTCTTTTATTGTAGACTAAAGAAATATAAGGCGTCGTGTTAATCCTTTAAAAAATGATATATATTGCATACTCATATATGATACTTCATCATTTCGACTAGGAATATCCCGAAGAACAAAATTTCTACCAAAATAAGATATAACTTCTAGAGTTGTTTCACCAACATCTGTTGCCGCTTTTTTTTCACCAAGAAGACTATCGAGCATTGTTGATTCTCCTGTTGATGTTAAACCAAAAAAAGCAATATTATTACCTTTCATTTCTATTGGTTTGGCTTGTTGTGCTAATTTGATAAGTGCTTCTTTTGCATTTTTATCCTGTGCTTCAATATCTTCGAACGAATCAAGTTTTTTCTCTTTCAATTCTGCCAAAAGTTTATTCATTGCTTTCAATTGTTCTTTATGTTCTCTTTGATGGTGTGGGTGTGGGTGTGAGGTGCGGGTGTGTGAGTGTGGATATGGGGTGTAGGTATGGGTATGAGGTGTGGGTGTGGGTGTGTAGTTATGGGTGTGGGTGTGGGCGTAGGTGTGGCTGGGTCTCCAATAAATCCACTTCCATATCCCCACTCCCATCCACACCCGCACACTCATATCCCACACACACACACACTGACCCTCACATATATTTGAGTAAATCGGTGTTTTATTTCAAAAAAACTTGAGCAATAATCAAAGTACTTCAACAGAATAGCGATTTGATTGACAAACGTTCAAAACTTGAATCCTCTAGCAAGATACATAACATTCTCAGGATCCCATGTAGTGCGAATACGTTGAAGTCTAGATACATTATCGCCGTACATCTGTGAAAGGGGTGTGTTCTCTAGAGCATAGTTTGGATAGCGAATTTGTTTTCTGCCACCCACATCTTGACCATCGTCGAGTGCTGTCTGTAGAATAGTTTCGGCTGATGCCTGGATCGCAAGAATGAAATCCTTGTCGTCAAGTGGTGACTCCCAGCCAAATTGGATACAAATAGGTAGAAGAGGAGTGGACGAAGGAATGTGTGGATAAGCACCACCCTGCGACCTATTGAAATATGTTGACAAAAATGGCATAGTATCGTACGAGAAAATCGCGCCGCGCTTTCGTCCCAGTATTGAACTGTAATACAACGTCTGATTTTTTATTTGTTGAAGAACACGTTTGCTCAGGTTGGTCACCGAGACTGTATGAAAACGTCCACTATAATAATGACAATTTATTATGAGTGACAAGATGAGAGTTTGGTTTAGAAATTTTATACTATGTTGTATGATGTAAGATTATTCTTGGAAATATTAAATAGAATAACAAATTAAAAGTTTTAACATAGTCTTTGCTTGCAAAAAAAAGCCTTTTATTCCTAAGTTCGATTCGACTTTTGGCCTACCAATTCTCTATATAAACAAGACATCTAATAAGAGAATCTGTTTAAGTATCAAATCCTATAAACTGTGCCTTTCTAGTCGAATTATGATCGTTTTACTTAATTTTCAATTCATGACCAGAAACTCTCAAAAATATCCAATATGCAATTTTGTAGTAAATATTTAGGTCAAGAGATAGATCTCTAAAATATTATGGATGTTTTAGCCAAGACAAAATCTTACTTCTTGAATCCTAACTTAAGAAGAAAAGGTTATATGATAGAGTAAAAATGCAATATCGATGTCATAACTCGACAAATCTCAAGTTATAGTCTCGTTTAATAGAAAAAAAATCTAGTGAGTGAAATACTTGATGAATCAAACACTCTTTATCAACAGTTAGGAGAATATCAACTTTTTGACCTATGTGAATGGGATATATATCGGTTGAACGACTCTATTTATCATTCAAAGAATACATCTAGAGATCAAAACGCAAGTATCAAGATATAAAAGCTATATAAGCTTCCGCGTTAGCAAAAAAGTTTCAATATATTGAAACAAATACGTGATATCAAATTAAAAGAGATAAAATATCGAAATGAATTTTTACAAAAGCCGACAAGTAGTGCACATCGAAAAAGTGAAAAAAGAAATTAGTTTGGTTGATCGTAGGAGTAACAGTGAAAATTTTGGTACTTATGAGGATGAAAACAGTGACTAGTTTATATAGATATATGACAGTTTCTTTCACATTTTTCTGTTATTATTGCATATGGATTTGTTCGTTAGCCGTAAATGTAAGATCTTTTTTTGGGATGATTTTACATATCAAAAAAGATTTCTGTATTAACTCACCGCAGATTGTCAGTTAAGAAGCCTGGTGTACATTGAACGATGGAGAGAAGTGAACGACTATGAAGAATACCAATAGGATGAAGATCGGTGAACTCTTTGAAGATTCCGTCTGGAGCCACCGGTGCATCATAGAATACGACGAGATCCATGCCAAGTATTCCGTCCTTAATAGCAAGAATTGACAAAATTTGTGCTCTTGGATCTGTATTTTTCACTTGGAAGTTGGTGATAGCCTCTAAGACACCATCAATCTGAAGCCAAGTATAATAAAGACAACCTCCGTAAACTTGGTTTTGTGGTACAGAACGAAGATTGAATTTGGTCACGATACCGAAGTTGTTATATCCACCCTTAAGGCCAAAGAAGATGTCTGGATACGAATTATTATTCACATAGACAATGGTACCATTGGGAGTGACCAACTAGAAAAAAAAAACTTCTTTGATGCCTTCACACTACGAGGAGAGAGAAAGTTGAGTGAGAAGATAGAACTTTCTGTTCCAGGTTGGACTCTTACCTCATATTCGAAAACATTATCAATGCTGAGACCAAATTGATTTGATTTCCAACTGTAACCACCACCAAGGATGAGTCCGGCGACACCAACACTTGAGAATCGACCACCAATAACAGTGACATTGTATGGTGCGAGTGCTCTGTACACATCATCCCATACGAGTCCTGGTCCCACATCGACCGTTTGATTATTTGGATGGTATGTTATCGTGTCAAACCGTCGCATGGCAATATGAATACCAGTCGTAGAACTGAATCCAGGATTCATAGCATGTCCACCACCTTTGATCGCAAATTGAACTTGACCTTGCCGGATTATTTTGATCTATCGGATAATCCAACCAAAATGAGTCATTTCTCCATGCAGTCTCAAGTGCTTTTCTAGAGTTTTCGGCCACAAAATATTATATTCTATCAAATTTCTACCAATATTTAAACTTTTACGATACATTTCAATTATTCAAACATTGCTACTTAGGTTTTGGTCCACAACCTAGTATTTTTGATAATTATTATTTAAAGTTTTATCCTAATGAACACGTTATTTCGGTATCGATTTATAAGAAATTTTGCATAGCATCTTCGACCCCAAAGAACTTACTAAGCTTGATAGAAGCTTATGAAAACAGAATGGTCAACTTTCATTGAATTATGAGATTATTATAAATTAACATGATACTTACAATGATTGCGACATCGGCAGCGTTGTTTGGCTCAACACTACAGACCGAAAATATTGTCGATGTTGCAGCATAATGTTTAATGCTTTCATAGTATTCCAGATCAAATGGGTAGAACACTTTTGAGTGAGCACTAATATTATCTGCGATTGATTTGCAAGCATTCATCACACGAGAAAAGTATTCTATAAACAAAAGACTATACATATCTCTAATAGATCGGTTAAAACCTCAATAGAAAAATTATTCAAAAATTTTCGCTCGTCTGGATGCTCTATACTTGAACATGCAAAATTACAATGGAGAACAATCAATAGCTGAGGATGTTTTCTCGATTGAATGGAGAGTCATACGAAATAAAATGAGCTTGTTTGCTTATATGTTTGCATGCACATGTAGAGTCATGTGTCCAAATAGATTGTCTTTAATATTTTTTCGTGAAGTTTGACCAAACAGTAATTGAGAACGGGGAATTCGAATCAGAAGTCAGATATTAATATTTTTCATAAAACTTGACTGAAGGTAAATTTTGATTAAAAACCACAAATATAAACTCAATATCTTTCTAGAAGTCGTTTCATAACTTGTGAAGTACTTCTTATTTACGTGTAAACCGTTTGTTTGCTAGTGTACTCGAGCCAATCGATGAGCAGAAAGCTAGTGAACGACAACAAGCGATCTATCTTCCATGAGACATATCGCAGATATCAATGTAAAATGGATAAATCGAGGCATCCCTACATATTTCTAATTAATGTTACATGTGCGATAGACTTTCAGCAATACTAATTCATGAGACAATTTTTTAACAACTTGGATACATACATTCGAAATAAAACAACTAATCGAATACAATTCTTTTATTGGATTCAGTAAACATGCTCTATAAAAAAAGATACTATTTATATCCTACGACGGCATTCCATTAAATTACCATACAATGTACTTCGTGCTCAGGCATTCGCAAATTCTATTAGATTTTGAAGGGAAGTGAAATATTAGGTCGTGAAGTAGACAGAAGTACGGTAGTGGCTAGCCGTCGGTGGCGCCCGAAGAGACACCAACGAATGACTAGACACTCATTTGAGATGTTGACACTTAAAATAAAAAAGATATTTTTCCAAAATTGACAAACCCCTGTATGATGCACGAAACGTCAGTAAGTGTTTTCCCTGAGGATGAAAGAAGAACCTTCAATGGTTTCGTATACAAAATACAAAGGACTTTTCGTTCTTGTTACAGATGTTTTCTTCTTCATGATGTATTTCTTTATCTTTTTTCTTTGCTTTTCCTTCTTCTTCCATTTACAGTTGTAGGATTTCTGATTGTGAGTCATCCTATTGAAAATTGGTTAATTATTACGGAACGGAAACCGATTGGGTTGGATCGTAACACAATTCGGTGATTAGTTAAGAACGAAAATAAGATCTGGGTGTCGATGAACGACTCACCGTTAATTTCGGAGGTTGACTCGACTTTTCTTGAGCAAAATCTTAGAAGAGTAAAGAAAGGTTTTCAAAAGAGCTCAATTATGTGTAGTCGACGGAAGTAGATTCAACAGAATGTCGATTTTGCGTAAAATTTGAGTGACTAAAAGATTTTATGATATAGATGAGCCGACGCTGCAGTTGTAGAATCTGGAAATATTAGTCCCTCTAGTGAAAAGGGGCGAATTTCAAAGAAGAACAGAACTCAAACGCTTAGACTGTGAGAGGAATTAAGGATAGCTACAAATTACTGGAATATAAGCTAGTGTAGTTCTGTATTAGAATCTTTTAACTAGAATTTTATACGAAATTTTTTTCATTTGTAAGATAGATTTAGAAGCAAATTTTTCAATCACTCCTTACATATTTGTGCATCTAGTTTTAACATGGAGGCTTTTTTCAAATAAATGAGAGATACGTTAACTTTCAGGAAGTTGAAAGAGCCTCTTCACTTCTTATTCATAGTTACTTTACAATCTGATATACCTGTTCGTCATCAAACTTAACCTTTAACTATGTAAAATTGTCATTCGAAAACTGTTCTCGAGCGTACTAATACTTTTTGAAGTTAGAGGACTCACATAAGGTTTAATTTCATAAATGCACTATCGTATCGCTAGGACACGAAAAAATATGGACATAACGAGGGTTGCTATTTTCATAATGACTCGCCAAAGAGTCAAGAAAAAATAATCTTCTATTGTTTATGATGAGTTGTGATTGAGGCTAAAATACTGCACTGCACAAAAAGAGAGACAAAAGAAATTTTGCTGGCTTATGAATTTCGAATTGATTCAAAATTCATAAAATTATGGTCCAAAAGTCCAAAATTAAATAGTCCGAAAAACCATAATAATAGGAAGTCATGTTTCACAAAATGAGTAAACTGAGCCACAATCTGTTCTAGTTCATCCTATTCCTAGCTTGCACGTACGAAGAATACTCGATTTCTAAACATTGAGGATTACTCTAATCATTTATGTGTCTGATAATGATTTTTAAAACGAATAGAATGACTTTAGTCGCGGATCAAGCGAGTCATAGCGACGAGCGTCATTTGTGTATGAAATATAGAAATTACATCATAGAAACCATTCATCAAATTTATCTTCCTTGTTCATTAGCACTGTGTTTGTATGAACCACGCGTTCTCTTATATCGAATATTCTCAAGAGTCTTGATTAGATTCTTTAAAGAAGACGATCTGTGGATGTAAATACAATAACTCGACAAAAATTGTTAACTGCGAGAATGTATTAAGAATGTTTGTAACAGCAGTTATATTGTGTTTCACATTTTAATCTTGCAGGAATTGCACTTATACTTTTTCTAAAAGAGTTCATTCTAACTTATGCGTCATTGAAAACACGTTGTCGATTTAATATAATTCCATGAACTGCATCATATCTTTTGATGGACTAAAAACATACAATTATACTTTTCAAAAAGACCAAAAAACTTTTCTTTTCTCATGAAAATTCGCTCTCTATTCTTGATTAAATAAATGTAATGTGACATTTTCAGACAGACTGATGACGGATATTTCATCTAGAAATTTTGTGTAATAATATAAGAATTTCTGTTGCATTCTTTCTCAACAAAGTGGTGTCAAAACTCACTCACCCGAAGCTCTTATCAATGTCGCTGAAGGTAAAATAAGTTTTTCACTTGTATTGAATTGAGCGTTTCCAATATCTGAGACATCGTGATTATTGGTGGCTGCATTTTGGACACACAGCAGCACTGCAAAAGCGATCCACAAAATTTTGTTATGCTTCCATAAATATTTATGCATGATGAGTTCTCTGACCATATTCGCACGTAAACTATTCTGAAAAAAAGCACTGCTTCACAAAAATGTCTGATTGATAAGAATAATCCGTGTTTAAAAGGGAAGGAAATTTAATTTAAAATAAATACATTTAAAATAACCAAAAAAAACAATTATCTTGTTAGATTTTCTGAGTGTCATACAATGGATGCAACACAGGTGACAATACTTCTGACCCGTCATCCATATCTCTCTCTTTAGTGTTCGAATCGATTTGTGCCGGTCTTTTCTTTTTCATTCAAATAGGCTATTCCGCTAGTCAGCCAAAACTCTTTTTCATACAATATCACATTATTTATATCCATCCTCGATTTATCTCTGTCATCAGACGAATCGACATATCTCTTGCCTCCTAAAGCGTATTCTTTCTTCAAACATCATGTATAAATAGCTAACATTTCTGAATAAAGACGGCCGAGCGAAGGAGTCTCTCAAAAGATCAAATGCATTCGAACACGTTTGACTACTCAGCCTCATACTGACTAACTTAAATTGGTATTTTGGTGTAGTGGCAAATTATATAAGCGATTCATACCTCTGTTTTCACATCTCACTGTAAATGGCGTTTATGAGCGATAGAATAAATTAAATATTCTCTTAACTCAGCGCAACGATACGATAAGAGAATAATGAAAGAGATAAAGGCCATAGATGACTCGAATGCATTCTGATTGTTTGCTCGCAAGATATTGACTAAAATTGTCTCTTGGTGAGAGTTTACTCTTGTTATTCACTTATCTTTGTTTCACCTAGATGATAAGAAACAAATAACGCTCATCGCTTTGATTCGCTTAGTCTTCGACTGAATTGTAAAGATTATTTATATGCCATTTCACCTTATTCAGAGAGTTGTTGATAGCATCAAATGTATCCACGCATATCTACCACAATACCATTATGACGATCTAAAATGTTTAAAAAACCTGGGGTCGTAAAATTCTCTATTGTATATGACAACGATTAAGATCATAATTTTAATTGTTCTTCGGTCAATAATATTAACAAACAAGTAATCATACCAACTTATTTTATTTCATATGATCTCTTCAGTCAAAGGAACAGTATGAAAACGAATTATTTGTTTTTCGCATTGTCAGCTACAGAAGATAAGAAAAAGTAGTGCTTTAGCACAGACGCCGTCATATCTCAAAAGATAAAAGTAAATATTATATACATCAAATGCCATGGCTCTCTTTTTATTCGAAAATCTATTCATTGAAATTGGGCGTATTTGTGAGTTGTTATCAGATGACTCCAGTCGATTCCTCATCGGCAAAACACAGTCTATTTTCTTAGAGATAAAGGAAAGACACATTCCGATCCACTACGCATTCTCAGGGTTTTGATAGGGTGGGTGTGGGTGTCGGTGTGGGTGGCTGGGTGTGGGTGTGGGTGTGGGTGTGAGTGTGGGTGTGGGCGTGGGTGTGAGTGTCAAAAAATGAAAGATCTACAGTCACAGCAGCAGCCACATGCATGCTCACACACCCACACCTCCACTCTCACACCCATACTGACACATACACACACCCTACGCCTATACCCAGACCCAGATTCACACCCTCAAATTTGGGTTTCAAAATTTTCTGTTTACTGAGTTCGGATGCGGATTTGGATATAAATGAGGGTAGGTGTTTGAGCCCATCGGATCTGAAACTTTTGGGGTGGGATTCGCGCGCGGTTTATTGAAGGCCTTTCAACTCTTGCTCCTATTCGGATCCGATTCAATAACTTTGTTTAGAATTGAGGTCGAACTCAAACTGAATTGGTTAAACTTCTTTGGACTCAGACCCAATCTGTACTCCTGATATCTTCAATAAAACAGTTTAACCTGTCTGTATAGTCGCTCCACA